GGTTGAAGGGAAAAGAAAATACAGTAGGAAAGTTTAAGCCAAAGTAACAAAATGAGAGCAAAATTATTTTCTTTACTGCTAGTGTACCGCCTGTATTTAGAGATGGTTGAGATAAGGTGAACTCTCCTTCTTGTTTCTGCGCTGTTATCACCTGGTCTTCTATGTCACACAAGAAACTTGAATTTTACCATGACTACAATGAATAATCTCTGAAGGACTTGAGTATGACTTTAAGCAAACATGCATTTTTAAAACATCACTCTGCCAAGTTGGAATGGAGAAGGGTAGGGAAGCATCACAAAGGCCATTTGATTTATTTGAATAATTTACTTGAGGAAAAAAATGAGGGTATGGGGTTCAAGTTGAGAATAAAGCAGAAGACATGCTCTGAGCAAATGGATATGGAATATAAAGGAAAAGAAGTTATCCTAAGATTTAGGTGACCTTGTTCTTGTTTGCATAGGATGATTCTACCTATTCTTTGTAGTAGTTATTACCAGAGCTCCATTTTACTCTCAAAACAGTCTGTTTGGACTATACATTACAGATTGAGTATCCCTTATCCAAAGTGCTTGGGAGCAAAGTGTTTCAGATTTTGGATTGTTTTGGATTTTGGAATATCTCCATATACATGAGATACATGACTGGGGACAGGACCTCAGTCTAAACATGAAATTCATTTGTTTCATATACATCCTACACATAAAACAATCTAAAGCTAATTTTATATGGTATCTTTAATAATTTTGCACATAAAGTTTTGACTGCACTTTAATTGCAACCTCTCAGGAGGTCAGGTATGGAATTTTCCACTCGTGGCATCGTACTGGTGCCAAAAAAGTTTTGAATTTTAGAACATTTTCTATTTTGGGTTTTCCGATTAGGGATGCTCAATCTGTATATTAATTGCTTTACCATTAACATTCAGCTGTCTGGCTTGGCCTTTAGATAAGATTAACAGTGAAGTCAGAGGAGCAGATTATGGGTGGTAAGGGACTAATCAGGAGTAAGATAAGTACCATTTATACTTGTTTGGTTTAAAGTGCAAGGTAATCTGGTGATATAAATAAATACAAGCATCCTATTCTACAGGTAGAAACTGAAAATATGGGTAGATGAAGTAACGTAGGTAGAATACATAGCATAAGAAGAGATGAAGAAAAGAACTTTGGGAATAGCAATATTTAAGAGAAGAAAAGAGAAGGAAGACCCCATCAGAAGAAAGAGAAGGTAATACATGCAGGTGATCCTATGGAAGCCAAAGGAAGAGTGCCAACAAAAGGGAGATGATGATAAGTCACTATTTAAAAGAAAACATCGTTTGCCCTTACAAAGTCTATCATATAAAATGGACTAAACGGACACATATTTATCATGTCTACTAGCGCATCATTCCTGTCCTCCAGTCAACTTCAAATATCCTCCAGAAGATAGAAAATAAATATTATTGTTATTATTTGAGACATGGTCTCACTCTGTCACTCAGGCCGGAGTACAGTAGAACAATCTTGGCTCACTGCGACCTCCGCCTCCCAGGCTAGCCTCCTGAGTAGCTGGGACTAGAGCCCCCCACCTCAGCCCCCTGAGTAGCTGGGACTACAGATGTGCCACCACCACATCAGCTAATTTTTTTGTAGAGATGGGGTTTCAAGATTTCACCATGTTGCCCAGGCTGGTCTCGAAATCCTGAGCTCGAGTGTTCTGCCCACCTCAACCCCGCAAAGTGCTGGGATTACAGGCATGAGCCACCGTGCCTGGCCAAAATAAATGTTAATTTTTAAAAATTAGTTTCTCTTGTTTTCCTGTCTTAATGCTTTAAGTTCATTAAAAAAAAAAAATTTTCAATGAATGTTCTGCTAAACTGGATTCAATTAAAATTCTCAACTAGCTGTATTTCCTCCTTTACACATTACTTTAATAGGCTGTTAAAGACAAGGAAAGTTGCTATCAGGATTGTTGTGTGTGTGTGTGTGTGTGTGTGTGTTTTGTAAAAGGCAGTTTCCAAGGCTGCATAATATGTCAGTAGATTCAATCAAAACTTTGATGCTTTGTAGAGCTAATATGAAGAGAGTGATATTCAACAAGCAGCAGCTAAGGCATCATAAGATCCTGAATCATACAAGATATGATTAAGTTCAAAACTTAAATACTGAAACAGTATAGTATACTTACACAATTTAGACAGATATGTTAACAAGGATTGAAACTAAAATGATCTATTTTCTAGAGTTTATACAATAAGAGAAAGAAAGTCTTACTTAGAAAAAGGCCCAATGTAAAGTAAAAGAAAGAGAAAATTCTATCCCAGATTAGAATTTTTCTAAATTAAGTCCTATATACTAAAAAAAACTAAACTATGCACTTTAAATGAGTAGTTTTTATTGCATGTTAAAAGCTGTTAAAAAAAAAAGTCGTATATATCATAAAACCTTAAGCTTTTTTAAAAACTGTGTTTAAACACACATATCATGACATTTACCATCTTAGCCCCTTCTTTTTTTTTTTAAAACGAGCAGTCTGGAGTGCAGTGGCACAATCTTGGCTCACGCAACCTCCGCCTCCCAGGTTCGAGCGATTCTCCTGCCTTAGCCTCCCCAATAACTGAGACTACAGGCATGCAGTATTTTAAGTAGAGATGGGGTTTCACCATGTTGGCCAGGCTGGTCTCAAACTCTTGACCTTGTGATCCACCTGCCCTGACCTCCCCAAGTGCTAGGATTTTAAATGTACAATTGAGTGGTATTAAATACATTCATATTGTTGTGCAATCATCACCATTACCATCCACATCCAGAACTCTTCATTTTGCAAACCAAAAACTCTGTACCCATTAAGCAGTAACTCTCCATTCCTTCTTCCCTTTAACTTCTGGCAACCACTAGAACTAAAGCTTTTAAGTAGTATGATGTGAAATTCTTACCAGATTATGTATAATATTTGTTAAAGTCCAAGCAACAGGAACACTGAAGAAGGGAATGCTGAGTAAGACAATATGAAGCAAGCCAACTCCCAATGCATATGTCAGCCACATACCCCGACTGTTCATGACACGGGTATTTGGATTCACTTCACTGTGGGCGACTCCAACATTCATGTTTGCTCTGTAGGAAAGTAATGAAATGAATCAACACTGATACAACTGGCAAAACTAAACACCCTCAATTCTGACATGACAAGGGACATATATTATGAGGATTATTTTTTCCTAGTTATTTTGAAATAGCACACAAACACCATCCAAAATATGCTACTTGAAGATGCTGACAGCAGTAAAGAATCTTCAACATTTGACTTGATGGTAACATGCGGCTTTTTATGGTTCTATTTGAAAAAATAATTAAAATGCTTTTCCTAAAGTTTGTTTTCTAGCATGTTGTTTTACTGAATAAGAAAATTCAAATTCAAAGAGAAAACCTACATTGTCTTATATCATGAGCAAAGTGAAACGCCAGAAGCTAAATTTACCAATGAATTTATATTAAAAAGAAAAAGCAGAACTCACCCAGCCAGTCTGTCAAGTAGCCAGACTCTTATATCTGACTTAATGTAGCCATAAAGAATGGTCAGAGTTCAGATCACTTCTTTCTAAATACTGAATGTGAAAGGTACATGCTGTTGATATTATGTAGTGTAAAATTTACATGGTCAAGGGATAGTATTTCTCAACTTTGTGATACAACTAGATGAAAGCAAGGAGTCTTCTGAATATTTCTCTAGTCAACTCCTCAAAAACTTCAGTTTTCTTTCTTTTTAAAAGGTTTTTCCCTGGGTATGTCTTTGTAGCAATAAATAAATACATAATAAATAAAAAAAAGTTTTTCCCTTCTCCTTTTCCATTGAAGATGGACTCCAAAGGAAGAACTGATAATAGTTTTCAGTTCTTTTAATGATGGTGTTTACTTGGGTCTAAGTATTCCTTAAAATAAAACTGTCCTGAAGAACACCTATTATCCGAGGGAGGGGGGAAACAAGGCTATGTTATATTTGGAACAGCTGTGATTTTAAAAAATAAACAAACGCTTGTATTACGGAGAGGAATTTCTCATAACCCCATCCAGCAAGTGTTTCCGGAGTATAATGCTCCTTTGCCTCTAAAAACCCATGGAACAGGCATCAAGGCTTAAGGTGACCAAAAGTTAGATACACTAAGAGCCGCTAAAGTCTCCAATTTACATGTGTAAATCTTTCTTCTAAACATCCATCATTTATCATACATTATTTTTAACTATTATGTCATACTTAGAATATGCCAACACTCAAGACAGTTTTCCCACTTTCTACAGGATGGAGGCCTGAAATTCACATCTCAGCTGGAAGGCAAAGCTGGTGCGGTACTCACCCTACTCCAACCAGAAAACCTCTCCCCCCAGCAGGTTTGCCTGGCTGCCCTAGGACTGGCAAACAATGATCTTACAGACCGTGAAGAGGCTGTCGGCTCTACCCTTGTTGGTGCCTCCGAAGGCGGCGACCCCTCAGGGAAGTCCCCCTGCCAGACGGGCAGCCCAAGCGCTCCGGGCCAGAGAAACTCAGCAAAGGCCGCCACTGCTACCACCTCCCCACCCGCCCCTTCCTTCTCGCGGCCGCACGTCACGTCGGACCCCGGCAAAACAGCAAGGATTTGCGTAGGGAGCGAGCTTCTGAGGCCACTTAGACCGCGTGGCCACGCACGCCGCCACAGATGCAGCCGGAGCCCACTTTTTCCTCTCAGGACGACCCTAGGTGGCCAGCAATTCCCTATCGACGACGGCGACTGTACAGCGTCCGTCGCGTTCTTGCCCACTTACCCGCCGCCCTACTCCAGGCCTCCGGCTCGTAGCAGGTCGAGCCCCGCGGCCACGGCCGCGGATTGACGCGCTCAGCCCGGGCGTTGCGCAGCTCGCGGAAGCTTTCACCGGCAGACTCGCTGCCAGCTGATTGGCTGCAAGCAACGCCAATCCTACGTTCGGCCAAAGAGAGGCGGGACTAAGTGCCTCGCTCCCAGTGTCTGCGCCGCCGTGCGCGCGTGCTGCGGGGCGAGTTGGGGGTCCGGCCTGCGCTTCGGCTGAGACACTGGCTGCTCGCCGCTGGTGGATGGTAATTGCCTGCCTCGCGCGAGGAAGGTAGTGTGGTGTGAATAATGGGTATTTATTATATTCTCGATGGCTCGTGGGCCCCTTCCCCTCTACTACTCCAGGTCCGAGTGCGAACGCTGCTGGCAGCTAAGGACGCTCCCCGCTCGGGGCGGGAAGCAAAGCCGGGCTTGCGGGCGCGCTCACCTGGAGCGCGTTCTCTGAGCAGGTCTGGGCTCCCGGGTGTTCTGGTTTGGTCTTTGTTGCGGCCCATTCCCCAGACCCTTGCTTTTGTTTTCCAAGCAGCAAACCCATGACTCCTATAACTCATCTTGTGAGGGTGGCAGTTATTTACTATCGTATGCCGTGGCATCATACAGGGGGTACAAGTTAAACTCTTCAAAGTTAATCACGATTTTTGCTCGTGGCCTTTTCGATTTATCCGTACTCTGAAGACAGGCACCTGTATTACATCCTGAGGAAATGTGGATGCCAAAAATTGATCTTGAGTAAAGTCTTGATTAGATTTTTTTGGAATCGTCTTTGAAATGTAATTTCCCTCACCTTTGCAGTGCGGGAAGTTTGTGATTTTTATTGCCGACATAGCTTTCAACATTTTGAAGTTGACTTAGAATGTTGACTATGTATATGCATATCTTGCATTTCTGTTGCCTTTATGACCTCAATTGTTTTGAATTTGGTCTGATCTTTAAGTAAATTATTTGTTTGTTTTCTCTCTAATGAAAGTCTGTGATTCTCTGATCTTTACTTCTTTTTTAGGCACACCTGTTGTCCTTAACTGACTTTCCTGGTCATCAGCACTCTTTCAGAAGTGTTTTGTTTCCCTCTCAGCAAATATGGAAGACTATCCTGATATGTCCAGACATTCTTTGCTGTGATTTGTGAGCTCAGTATAAACCCTTCCACTTTTTCAAAAACGGTCATTTGGTACACATACAGTAGAGCGCTATATTCCAGGGGTTATGCTACGGGTGTGTGATTGATATAAAACTACTCTCCTCAAAGAACTCTAAGTCAGAAGTTACAGACAGAAACACATATTAATAGAATAACTTGTGATAAGGTTAAAGTTAAGAATGAAGTAAAGGGGGACTGCAGAGGAAAGAATGCCTAATCTGTTGGCAGGTGAGGGAGAGGAGGCTGGAGCACGGAAGAAAAGCTTTCTTGAAGAGTTGATACTTGAATTAAATCTGGAAGGATGGTTAGAAGTCAGCCTAGAGTGAGATAACTGTATGAGCTGAGGAAGGAGTGAATGTTACCGCTTTAAGAGAGACAGTTGGCTGGGAGCAATGGCTCACACCTGTAATCCCAGCACTTTGGGAGGCTGAGGCAGGCAGATCACCTGAGGTCAGGAGTTTGAGACCAGCCTTGCCAATATGGTGGAACCCTGTCTCTAATAAAAATACAAAAATTAACTGGGTGTGGTGGTACACGCCTGTAATCCTAGCTACTTGGTGGGGGCTAAGATAGGAGAATCTCTTGAACCCTGGAGGCGGAGGTTGCAGTGAGCTGAGATTGCTGCACTTCAGCCTGGGAGACAAAGTGAGTCTCTGTCTCAAAAAAAAAAAAAAAAAAGAGAGATGAGTTCTACAGTATGATTGCTGTAGTGCACATTTGGGCAATGATGGGTTGACACTGGGAGAGAAGGCAAAAATCCAATTGTTAAGAAATTTGGACTTAACCTGATTGGCGATTGGAAACCTTTATAAAAATTTTAAGTGGGGCAGCAACATGATGAAATTTAAATACAGAAAGAACCCAATAGGTGGTTGAGATTCGAGTCAAAATATCAATTAGGTAGATTTGCAGTAGTTCAGAAGAGAAAGGTTGAGAGGTTGAATGGAGGTAGCACAAAGAAGAGAGGACTAGTTTGGGAAACATTTAGATAGTAGGAGAGGGAGGACTGGGTGGCAGGATATAGAGTGAGTAGAATTTCTAGGATGACTTCAAAGTTTCTAATTTTGCTTTATGTACCTCCATTGAAAGTGTTCGGCTGGGCGTGGTGGCTCACGCCTGTAATCCCAGCACTTTGGGAGGCTGAGGTGGGCTGAAACTCCTGTTTGAGATCAGCCTGACCAACATGGAAAAACCCCATCTCTACTAAAAATACAAAATTACAGGCACATGCCTGTAATTCCAGCTACTGAGGAGGCTGAGGCAAGAGAATCACTTAAACCTAGGAGGCGGAGGTTGCAGTGAGCCGAGATCGTGCCATTGCACTCCAGCCTGGGCAACAAGAGCAAAAACTCTTGTCTCAAAAAAAAAAAAAATCTTCAAGGGCATGGCCTTTGGAGTCAATGCCAAGGTGTGCATCTGCCACTTAATAGTTTTGTGATCTTGAGCAAGTTACCATGCCTTTAAGTCCGATTTGGTGGTAAAGGATGATAGAATATGTAGAGTTCTTGTGACGATTAAATAGGATAATATATATAAAATTCTCATGTTGGCTGTTTTTTTATTATCAAACAAGAAATGTAGGAAGAAAGTTAATTAGAGGCCAGGTGTGGTGGCTCACTCCTGTAATCCCAGCACTTTGGGAGGCCAAGGCGGGCCGATCACCTGAGGTTACAAGTTCGAGACCAGTTTGACCAACATGGTGAAAACCTTGTCTCTACTAAAAATACAAAACTTAGCCAGGTTTGGTAGTGGGTGCCTGTAACCCAGCTACATGAAGGCTGAGGCAGGAGAATCACTTGAACCAGGGAGGTAGAGGCTGCAGTGAACCAAGATCACGCCATTGCACTTCAGCCTGGGCAACAAAAGCAAAACCCAAAACTTCATCTCAAAAAAAGAAAGTGAAAGATTCTCTGATCACTTTGGGACATGTTATGTTTAGGTTCCTTCAGATCAAATAAATGATGATATATAGAATGTAGATGGAAGTAAGGCCCTGGAGTCCAGAAAAAAGTTATGATATGCAGGTGAACTGGAGGATGATATGGAGGCCAGTTAAAATTATGTATATAAAGGGAAGGAGGTTACTTTTTCTAATGTTTGTGTTAGCATAAGAAAGATGCTGACAAATTATATTTAGTGGTCCTTCATAAATATTCATGAAGTAAAGGGCTTGCCAAGAGTGAAGCGTTTGATTGTTCTGCCTGGCACCCAGAGATACATAATATGTAATTTCCTACATTCAAAAGTTGTACAGCAGGAAAAAAGGAAGAAAAAAAGTTTTACAGTTCAGGACAGGGGTGTAGTAGGTTCAATTATACAATTTAATTAATTTAATCTTTACAGTTACAAGTTAATATTTTACATTGATTATAGGACAAAATGATATTTGATATTTTGAATATACTGGATTATCCAGTACATAATTAAAATTAACTTCACTTTATTTAAAACCTTTTTTAATGTGACTACTAGAAAATTTTAAATGATATATATGGCTTACATTATAGTTCTATTAAACAGTGCTGGATAGAGTAGTGGTTAAAATGGCAGGCTCTGAAATCACACTACTTTGGTTTTATCCTAGCTCTTACAGCTGCATGACACTGAGGAAATTAAACTTTCTAAAATTCAATCAGTTAATCTATAAAATGGAGGTAATACAGATACAATATGCTTGTGAATTTGGGAGAGACACAAGTATTCAGACTGCAATAATTAGGAGAGAAGAAAGATGACCTGACGTATGAAGAGAGATACAGACATCTTAAGACACCAAAGGACACAATGGGATGGGGTAGATAAGTGATAGAATTCATGCTATGAATTGCCATGGTCTTAGTAAACTAGAATGAGGAATATTGGGATGAAATTTAAAAGAAAAAGATTTTAGTTTTGTCATTGTAGGGGATGAGGTTATTATAGGGAATGAGACAAAGATGATGAGATTGAGACTGTTCAGAAGGAGTCAGTCTTGGTTTGTTTTGTTGATCAGTGTTTTTCTGATCAACAGCTAAGATTTTCTAGCTAAGGTAGAAGACTTCTTGAACCCAAGCCCCTGTGGGGTAGGGGTTAAAGGTGAAAGGATTGTTCATTAAGAGGTTTAGAGGAGCTCAATTTAGAACAAGTACCCTGGGATGTTTTTAGTATTTATATAGCAAACACTGTAATAAGTTACATATATACTACCTTATTTACTTCTCACCACAATCATGTCATATCATTATTATATCCATTTTGTAGATTAGGTGATTGTATTTTAGAGAGTTTAATTTTCTCAGTGTTATATGCCTGTTAGTGTAAGAGCTAGGATAAAACCAAAGTAGTGTGATTTTGGAACCTGCCATTTTAACCACTGCTCTATCCACCACTATTCAACAGAACTATAATGCAAGTCACATATATCATTTTAAATTTTTTAGTAGTCACATTAAACAGACTTTTTAAAAGTTAGTTTTAATAATGTGTTTTATGTAATCGAATGTATCCAAATAGGATAAAATGATTTCATCTTCTAATCAATGTAAAAAAAATAGGATTTTTATTAATATTGAGTTGGAAATTAAGCATTTATTAGCATATCTCAGTTTGGACTACCCACATTTCTAGTGCTTAGTAGCTGCATGTGGCTAAGTGGCTACCATATTGGATCGTGCAGATCTGTCCCTTAGATCGAGGTAATTTTGAAGCTTTGGAAGAGTGCAGAGGTACCTTTGCTTGTGACAGCACTAATTTGTGTGAATGTTATGATGATGCAGTAGCCTACAGTCCACTGTTTCCCTGCATGAGTGGGATGGGAAAGCCTCCCAGCCATTGAGAACAACAAAAATAACCACTGAGAGGTAGTTGTTCACAGCTACTCTCCTGAGAACTGGGTACTCCAAAAATAAATCAAATACATAGATTAATTAGAGGGTAGTTAGTATTAAAAAAGAATTCCCAGCATTCCTTTACATAATGATCTCTCATCATAATACTCTACATTTTATAAGGCCTTATCGTTTGTAGAATAACATTTTACTGTGATTCCTCACAGTAAACCAGTGAGGTGTTAGCTCCATTTTTATAGGTGATGAATTGATTTATGGAGGGATTTGAGTGATTTGCTGAGTTTATGTGTAATAAAGGTGAACCCCCAATACCTATTTTATAGGTTCTGATATGTATGTTTTTTCACTGTGCCAGTCACTTTTGCCTTGTATATAGCCAAATATACTGTATTCATGAACTGTGATCAGTTAACACTTTCAGAACCCAGTATGTCGGACTTCTTCCTGGAAATGCATTCCTTAAACTCCTATATAATTGTTATAGTGCCTGTGCTACATTTCCTTCTCAGTTACTGAATCTTTCTTTACATGTCTTTATTTGTCTTAGGCTGCCTGAGAAATAATCCTAAACCGATGACTTTCTGTTTTGTTTTTGGTGTTTTATTTATTTTATTTGCATCTAGATTCTATAGGATTAAATTATCATGGGATCTAGTCATGGAAAATAAAGGAAGTACCTTGATGTCCACCCCAACCCCCCTGCTTTTTTCCCCTAATAAAATCTTGACTCTATAGAGGAATTGCATGTTGTCAAGCTTGTGCTTATTTTTCCCGTAATCTTTTCTGAAATTAGGCAGTAAGATGCAAAAAGCCCTTTCCCTGCATGCTTTACAAATGGAATTTCCATAGGGCATTTTTGGATTTTTTTTTCATTTGTTTGAACAAAGGATTTCTAGTTACCAACAGATTTTGGATCTGCAGGTTGGAGCTATAAAGGACCTCAAATGCCAACCTAGAGATTTGAGCTTTATCTTACTGGCTTTGAGAAGCCACATGATTAACATAATGTTTTAGGCAGAATAATGTAGAGGATAGTTATCTGACATATCTGGTATAAGACTATTTCAGGTTAACAGTAATCCTAACTCTAGAGGAGCTTGGTGATTGAAACAGACATTATAGCTTATGAGAATTTATGGATGACTAATGATGTTTAAATGAGACTGTTGATAAGGCACATAATGGATTGTCATTATTCACTTCCCAAGGTCATATTATCACTTGCTCATTCTCAGCCAGCTACACTCATTATAGCACAATTGTTCTTATCATTCTTCAATTATTACTATAGTGTTTGTTTTTAAGAAATCTCTCTAGAACATGCATGTCTTGATTCCAATATTTATGAGCTTTCAGTGATCTACTATAATGAGTTTGGACCACGATGTAGTTGGCACAGACATTTAAGAAAATAGATTTGATATGAAAATCTCAAATGAGAAGTACTTGCCTTGGGTCCAGTTACTTACTTGGCTTTCAGCCTCTTAAATGGTCATAACAATAAGTATAAGTCTCAATGAAGATGATCTACATAGTACCTACTTTTTATGGTTTAGAGGTTTAAATGCAGTACCATATGTAAAGTGTTTAGCATAGTGTCTAGCATACTATATATTTAATCTAATAGTTGCTGTTTCTATTGTAATCATCATCATTTTAATTAATGGGCAGTATAGACTGGGTGGCCAAAGGTTAAGAGTCATTGAGGCGAATTAGGAAATTATATTGGGAACTAAATGTGAGAAATACTGAGAAAAAAATGGTTGGGATTTAGGAGTTGATCGGATTTGAGTTAGGGTGAATGGATTATTCCTATAGGAAAGTCATGGGTTTGAGATAGGGATTGGTTAATTATATCTTTCTGCATAAGATAAAATTACAGTTTGAGCTAGCGATTATTTCAACAGGCAGTTGGAAATACAGGGTTAGAGTTAAGTTAGAATTGGTGATAATTAGTTCTATAAAAATTCTGGAAGAAATTTTAAAAACGCAACTTCTTCCTCAAATGTTATTGTGGCCTGTTTGTTTTTAGGTCTATTGTGGATTTTTTGAACCCATTTTTTTGTCATTTTTATCCATAGGCATTTATATATATTCATATATTACGTATCAATAGAGGAATTGTTGAAGGACTTGCCTTGGCTCTGCCTCTTAACTGGATGACCTTGGACAAGTTTTCTAATTTCTTTGTGCCTCAGTAGTTTTATAAAATTGAGGTGATGATGGCACCTATTTTCAAAGGATAATAGTGAGAAATGGAAGATTTATGGCTGGGCCTGGTGGCTCATGCCTGTAATCCCAGTACTTTGGGAGGCCAAGGCAGGCGGATCACTTAAGGTCAGGAGTTCAAGACCAGACTGGCCAACAGGGCAAAACCCCATCTTTACTAAAAATGTAAAAATTAGCTGAGTATGGTGATGAGCACTTATAATCCCAGCTACTCTGGAGTCTCAGCCAGGGGCACATGAACCTGCAAGGTGAAGGTTATGGTGAGCCTGGGTGACAGCAGGACTCCATCTCAAAAAAAAAAAAAAAAAAAACAAGGAAGAAATAGAAGACTTAATATTGTATGTGCTAACAGTTGAGCCTAGCATGCAGTAAGTCTTAATGAGGATGGTCTATTATTTATCATTATTATTTCCATCTGTTCTGTTGGTCGGGCATGTTTAACAATTGTTACAAGTTGCATTTTTATCTTCTAGCTTCTCTGTTAAAAGTGAAAATGAAACAGTTGCCTGCGGCAACAGTTCGACTCCTTTCAAGTTCTCAGATTATCACTTCAGTGGTCAGTGTTGTAAAAGAGCTCATTGAAAACTCCTTGGATGCTGGCGCCACAAGCATAGATGTTAAACTGGTAAGTGTCCTTGAGAAGCCAAATACCATTAAGACAAAGAAAAGGGGCTGGACAGATGTTTTCTCCTTTAACTGTTACCTTTATTTTATTTCTTTACACCAGTAAATTATTCGTAGGATATTGGACCCTTTGTCTTAAAAGTAAATCCTTAAAAATAAATTTTAATTTAGATTAACATTATAGTAACACTAAAGGAAATACGTTATGAAAGAAGACATGTTCTTTAGGAATCCGTCACCTAAACCATCTAATGTTTGTATTTTCTACATAGATATGTCCTTGGTTATTTATATTTTCTTGTTTTAGTTATTTTCTTTTGCATTTTATTTCTTCCATCTAATCAAATTTCAAACCATTTCCCTTGTTACTTTTTTCACATTTAAAAATATAAGTGCTATATATTAAATCATTTGGGTAAATATGACCTACATCACTCATGATTTATTGCAATTTGTTTGCATGTCTAGTTCCTCTGTTCTAATTGCTAACACACAGAGGTATGTTTTATTTATTTTTGTGTCCTCTATACCTGGCTAGTACCTAGTACATAGTAGGAAGGTAAATAAATTCATTGGATTGAATATAAGAACACATTTTTTAAAATCTCCTAATTATCAGATATTTATGCTGCTTCTGGTTTTATAGAACTAGAAACAATGCTGATAGAGATACATTTGTAAGAAAGGGACCTAACTTTTTGTTATCTACTAGGTAAGATTCTATGACATGGACATACTATATATATTTTGTGTAAAAATAAAATCCCAGTCACTTTTTATAAAACTCTGTGACTTATCTGCTACTATACCCATTTTATTTGTTATTGTTATTATTTTTTAAATTTTTTGAGACGGAGTCTTGCTCTGTCACCCAGGCTGGAGTGCGGTGGCTCGATCTTGGCTCCCTGCAATCTCCCTCCCCAGTTCAAGCAGTTCTCCTGTCTCAGCTTCCCAAGTAGCTGGGATTACAGGTACGTGCCAGCATATCTGGCCAATTTTTATATTTTTAGTAGAGATGGGGTTTCACCAGGTTGGCCAGGCTGGTCTCGAACTTTTGACTTCAGGTGATCCGCCCGCCCGCCTCAGCCTCCCAAAGAGCTGGGATTATAGGCATGAGCCACTGTGCCCAGCCATACTATACCCATTTTACAAATAATGTTCTGAGAAGTTTCCCAAAGTCACATAATTAGTAAGTAGTAGAGCCGAGACTGGAATCCAGGTCTTTCTCGCTCTGAAACCCATTCTAGGTTTTCTCTCTGTGCCAGTGGTTCTCACGATGTTTGGGTGCATCAGAATTACTTAGGATGTTTGCTAAAACCATTACTGAGCCTTACTCATAGAACTTCATAGTCTGGGTGGGGCCTGAGAATTTGCATTCTAGTAAATTTCTAGTTGACGCTGATGCTGGTGGGTTTTGGAACACACTTTGAGAATCCTTCTATGTCAAACTTCTGTTCTGTTTTTAATACACTCTAAGCTTTATAAATGTGAAAAAAGTACATTAAATCAAATCCAAAGAACGACAATTTGTTTTTGTTAGGTATTTCATATAGTCAGTTCAGTCTGATTGGAGTACCATTGATAATAATTAAGTAGGATTAGATAGTTATAGCTGACAGAGCTGTGGCAGGCAAACATCTTTTTCTTAAACATTTCTGGAAGGAAAACTGGTTTTTAAAATAGTGTTACAAAGCCAACAGAAGTCCTCTATAAAACTAGGTTAAATATTTTAATCTGGCTGTAAATTATAGTCTCTTGACATTAAAACAGTATTTGCTTTGTAGAATTTTAAGATACACACCTTAAATATGTGGCTCTTCATAATAAGACTTGTTTTATTGTGGTTTTATGCTATAATAGCTGTCCTGACTAGGTATGTTTTCATATTTAGTTAATTAAATGTGATGATACTATTTTAAACATCTAAACAAATCTTTATATTCTTATTACGGGGTTTCGAAACCATGTTGGCCAGGCTGGTCTCAAACTACTGGCCTGAAGTGATCTGTCCATCTCAGCCTCCTAAAGTGCTGGGACTACAGGCATGAGCCACCATACCCGGCCTGATTTTTTTTTTTTTTAAATAAAAAAGACAGACTGTTCCCAGAATGTAAACTTAACTTTATTTAGAGTCAGTCTCACTGTTCCCCAGGCTGAAGTGCAGTGGTGCATTCTCAGCTCACTGCAACCTCTGTCTCCCAGGCTTAAGTGATTCTCCTGCCTTGGCCTCCTGAATAGCTGGGATTACAGGTGTGTGCCACCTTGCCCAGCTAATTTCTTGTATTTTTAGTAGAGACTGAGGTTTCACCATGTTGACCAGGCTGGTCTCAAACTCCTGACCTCAAATGATCTGCCTGCCTGGGCCTTTAAAGTGCTGCAATTACAGGTGTGATTAAGTTGCACTCAGCAAAACTTAATTTTAGATTGAGAGAGGTGCGAGGAACAAAATCTTAGGTGTCTCCCTCCAATGCTTTGTATATCTAATTTATCTAAAAATTGCTGATATATACAGTATTATATCGTTTTAGGTTATTAGAAAGACATAATATTATTTTAAATACCAGAGTCATTATAATTATAGAAAGATTTTTTCCCCCCTTTATAAGTTGCATCTATGGTCATACACATAGGACTTTGTGGAGTAGAGTCAGGCTTATTATGGAAGTTGGCTACCAGATTTAGACTATGGTGTTCATACAAATGAACAACATGGGAATTTAAATTTTGTTTTTGTTATGTATGCATATTTTTAGTATTAGAGTATAAAACTGTGAATTGAGATTTTGAAAAAATTTTCTTTGCCTGATGTGATGGCTCACACCTGTAATTCCAGCATTTTGGGAAGCTGAAACAGGAGGATTGATTGAAGCCAGGAGTTTGAGATCAGCCTGGACAACAAAGTGAGACCGCATCTGTACAAAAATTAAAATAAAAATAGCTAGGGACTATGGCGTGCACCTGTAGTCCCAAGCACCTCAGAAGGCTGAGGTAGGAGGATCACTGAGCCCAGGCGTTCAAGGCTGCAGTGAGCTATCATCATGCCACTGTACTATAGCCTGAGTGACAAAGTATCTAAAAAAAATCTTGACTTTTTTTCAGATTAAAGAACTCACTGGTTGCCAAATCAGAGGTGTTATCTCAGCAGTTTCCTGTTGAATGGCTATAGATTTTTATGTGAGCAATAAGGGAGAAAGTATTAAAAATCAGGTTGATTCCTGCCATAGAAAAAAGCAAAATGAGTAAACAAAAAAAACAAAATAAATAAATAAAAATCAAGTTGAATAATGATACTTGCTAGGTTCTTCCTGACTTTGTTGCTGTGTTACTTTGTTGCTGATGGACTTCTGTTCTGTTTTGTTTTGTTTGGGGGCCAAATATATAAAAGGTATATGTAATTCAGAATAATTTTTTTAATCAAGTTTAAACAAAGTATGGTATATTATAAATACCCATGATAATGAAACAGTGAAAAGAAACCTTAAAGATCAGCCTAACCTTATTCTACAGTTGAATTGAGTCCAGAGAAAATAAGGGAGTTGCCCATTGCACCATAACTAGAAATTAGTAGAGCTAAAGAATTTAAGCTCTTGGCCCAGCGCAGTGGCTCACTCTTGCAATCCCAGCCCTTTGGGAGACCAAGGCAGGCAGATCACCTGAGATCAAGAGTTCGAGATCAACCTGACCAACATGGAGAAGCCCCGTTTCTACTACAAATACAAAAATTGGCAGGGCATGGTGGCGCATGCCCGTAATCCCAGCTACTTGGGAGGCAGAGGCAGGAGAATTGCTTAAACCCAGGAGGTGGAGGTTGCGGTGAGCTGAGATCATGCCTTTGCACTCCAGCCTGGGCAACAAAAGTGAGACTATCTCAAAAAAAAAAAAAAAAAAAAATTTAAACTCTTATTTCTATAATGTTACGTTTCCATAAAAGTAAATCAAAATGTCAAAATTCCTTCACTTGTGTTTCTTTCTGAGTGTGAGAACAGTTTAATATTTTTATATACTAAAACTGTTTGTTGACATTTTATAGGAGAACTATGGATTTGATAAAATTGAGGTTCGAGATAACGGGGAGGGTATCAAGGCTGCTGATGCACCTGTGATGGCAATGAAGTACTATACCTCAAAAATAAATAGTCATGAAGATCTTGAAAATTTAACAACTTATGGTTTTCGTGGAGAAGCCTTGGGGTCAATTTGTTGTGTAGCTGAGGTAAGGTAATTATATTGGTTATTTAGCAATTTCATAATCACTGAATGTTACAATTGAAACTAACCCAGTATTTGGTGAAGTCTGGTTTTAAATATTTTTATTATGGCAAAATATGCATAACATAAAATTGATTATTTTAACTATTTTAATGCTGTGCAATTCAGTGGCAATGGCGTTATCTGCATTCACATTGTTGTGTCTCTATCACCATTATTCATCTCCACAACCTTTTCATTATCCCACACTCTGTACCCATTAAACAATAATGCCCTTTCCCCCATCCCCTAGTATTCACCGTTCTACTTTCTGTCTCTATGAATTAGACTATTTTAGGTATCTCATGTAAATGGACTCATAAATTATTTGTTCTTTTGTATCTGGCCTATTTCTCTTATAAGGTGTTCAGGGTTCATCCATGTAGTAACATGTATCAGAATTTCCTTCCTTTTTAAGGCTGAATAATATTCCATTGTGTGCATATACCACATTTTGTTTATCTGTTCATCCACTGGTGGACACTTGGATTACTTCCACCCACCTTTGGATTATTGTGAATAATGTTGCTGTGAACATTGGTGTATAAATATCTGTTTGAGTCCCTGCTTTTACTTCTTTTGAGTATATACCCAGAAGTAGACTTGCTATATCATATCATAACTGCTTAAAATTTTTTGAGGAGCAGCAAAGTGTGTTTTGCATTTGAAAATTAAACAGATATTTAACTGTAGCACTTCTCAGAGCCTTTACTATATTCAAGCACCTTGTAAATCTCTAAGGTTGGTGGTCTGTATAGGTACATTTTCCTATACCTACTTGACCATGAAATTCTTTTATTGACAAAGCATATCATTTTTGTTTGTTTGCTTGCTTGTTCTGTTGACTACACTTTGGAAATGCCACTCTAATCAGTACATTTAGTGAGATTATGCTCTAGATATGTGAATTGATTTGGTCTAAACCATAGCTAGTTAAGGGCAGATTAGAACTTTACCCTTCTGACCATGGGTTAGGTGCTCAGTGTCTATAAACTCCTGAGTTTAGTGCTTGGCACAGTCAGTTCCATAGTACCAATTATACTATACTGTCTCTGCCCCAGATTTTATAACTAGTTTGTGGCAAAGCCCATCTAGAACCTTGATCTTTTCATTTCTTTGTATTTCAGTTGTGTTTGATTACATGACTCCGTACTACTTTTTTTGTACTATACTATTACTCTGGGTGTTGGGCTCTTTTATTGTGTGACAGTATCTATGTGCCAGTGAGTGATAGGATGATTGTAAGGGTCTCTTGAGCTATTGAAATTTGCCCAGTAGCCATGTAATTCTTCATTTGTGCTTAGGCTGGCAGACCCTATTTAGGCAAGAATGTTCCAGTACAGTGAAATGATAGGACTTCATACCTGTTGTTCTGAAAAAGTGGCACAGTCGTGAGATATTGTTGCTATCTCCTCTTCTGGTCTTTGGACATCTGTTTAGTAGTCCATTCTTCCCAGGAGTGACATAGTCTCTAGGTTCATTGTGGCCTTCCCTTAGCCCTTCTTCCTTTGAAGTGCTGGCATAGTATAGTGTAGGTTTTCTCCATTTTTTTGTGGATAGGATTCCAGCTCAGTACAGATTCTCCTTGACTTATGAAGGAATTACATTCCTGATGAAACCTTTGTAAGTTGAAAATATTATAAATCAAAATGCATTTAATGTGCTTAATTTCTTGAGCATATCACAGCTCAGCCTAGCCTACTTTTAACATGCTCAAAACACTTACCTTGGCCTAATTTACTTACCTGGCTAACACTTACCTGGGCAAAATTATCTGACAACATAGTATACTGGAGAGGATCTGTTGTTTATCCTCATCATCACACGGCTGACTGGGAGCTAGTGGCTCACTGCCTCAGCATTGCTATTGTATCCACCACTTTTTACTCGATGCATATCACTTCCATAGCACTGCAAAGTCAAAAAAATCCTGTGTAAGTAGCACCGTTGTTAAATTGGTGACCATCTGTATTCAGTTTTTTACTTTTGCACTTTTTTGGCTGTATAACATGATGTCCTAAGTAGGCCAGAAAATTTGCAAAGGAGATAAGTTTAAGTGGGAGATTTTGCTGTTAAGAGCAAGGAGGACTAGGGGCCCTTGTTTACTAGAATTCAGATGTTTAGACATCATTAAAGGGAAATTATCATGTGTACTCTTAAAACCTCTATTCAAAATGTAGCACTCTGTGTACCTCTCTATTTTCCTCAGCACTTGCTTTAGAGTTCACTGAGCCTCCAAATAAATAGATTTTGGGGAATAGTGACTAGAAGGTTCAACTGGGCATTGTCCATTTTTCTCCCGAAGACTATAAATGGGAATCTACAACCCTGGATCTTGTACAAAGAGTTTGTTTTTAAGATGGAATGGTGTTTGCACCTGGGAACCTCTGAGTCTCCATGCTGTTTAGCTGTTAGTGGTTGCTTTAGAAGTCATCTTTTTGTCTGTTTAGAACATGAGTATTTGATTTTTTTTTTTCAGCTGTTGTTCAAACTTGGCAGATAGGCTTTAAGCTTTATTTGGTAGATTATTAAAAAATAATTTGATATTTCTGTATTTTCTGCAAGATATATGTATATAAAACCCTTCAGAGCCGAAATTGGTCATAATTAGCTTTGCCTGCTAGATGGCAGCACTATACTTGGTTTTTAGAAATATGTTTTACAAGAGCCATGTGATTTATTCAAATCTTCACTGTAGTTCTGAGTTTAGATGGCAATTTTGTAAGTCTTTGTCCATTGGTCACTTTCTATCTTGTTTCCTTATTTGGTTACTTAAACCCACTTCATAGGCAAGTTTATCATTTTGTCAGTCTTATTTTTAAGCACTCAAGTGGCCTTGAGTATAAATAAAATAATTTTTCTCATCAGAATTACAAAACAGTTGTCAGAGTATCACAATATTAGAAAACTATAAGGTTTTCAAAAAATGTTTGCAATGCCAAGCATTTGTTTATCTTAGAAAATACTAACAGTATTTTATGGAGTTTCCTTTCTTACAGGTCTTTGGGAAAATCGTATATAGATGTGTGTTATGTATGCGTGCGTATACACACACAGACACTAACAACACAATGAATTTTTACGTATATATACTCCTGATCAAGATTTAGACCATTATCAGAACCCAAGAAGGTTCCCTCATACCCACTCCCAGTCAGTACTCCTCAGAGGTAACTGCTACTCTGACCTCTGTCAACACAGATTACTTCTGTATGTTCTTGAACTTGATATAAATGAAATCTTACAGTATGTATTATTTTGTCACAAGAGTTTTTGATGATGATTTAGGTTTGGTTATACGGGCAACCTAAAGGAAATACAGAGCTAGCTGGAAGGAACTCTGATAGTAGTAGGGGCTCTAGTACACCATTAGATTCCCCCACTTCAGGACTGAGCAGTCAGCCCCCAGCTGCCACAAGTGTTAGTGACTCACACCTCGGTCTCCCTCTGGAGCCTTCCCTTTCTGCAGCTGAAGAGAACTGCCTTACACCTGCATCCAATGACTGGTTGAGGCCTTATAAAGGTCCCAGTTTAGGACAACGTTGTCCTATGCCCACTGGTGATCATCCCAGAGAACCTGCCAATAAGTTGCCTGCTCACTAATCTCCATCTCAGAATCAGCTTCATGGATTAGCCAGCCTACAATGTAGGTCTTCTGTGCTTCAGTCTCTTCATAGTACTCATGAGAAAACTGAGATCTTGTGAAGCCAAATGCTAAGTCTTCTTACCTCAACTTTAAAACTCCATCTCTAATAAGTAATGTTCATTGTTTACTCCATGCAGGGTGCTGCGCTAGGTAGTTGATTTCAGAGGATTTGTACACAGTGAAATATGAAATTTGTAACCTATTCAGGGATACATAGTGTGTTCAAGGCAAAATCCAGAATTCAGTTCTAATTTCATGCCTTTTATTAGTGAGTTTTCCGCGGTAGGTTATATTACCTCCTTACTAGCATGATTACAAATGAATTTATAAAGTTTAAAAATACTTCCATATTAAATATTAAATTATTTACAAATTTACCCAGGCTTGCAGTGGTAAGTTCAATAGCTAAGTTGTTAGGAGTAGGTGAGTTGAAACTTATATGGGAGGACTATGAATAGTATTTCAGAAAAACAGAAAATCTTATATGTTTGTTGAAGTCAGTTACATTTAAAAATAAATTTTTTTAAGTAAGACCTATTTAATGGCTGCTTTTTTTGGGGGAAAAAAGTTCAGTTTTTAAACTGAATGAATATTCCTTAGCACTCAGAATTGAGGTTTCATATATAGAAAAAATACATTTTCATGACTGGCTTATTGTGAAACTTTTCTGATGAAAATTACAGTGAACACAATAAAAATTTGTGATTTGGTTATTTTATCTACCAAACTGATGCATATAATTTTAAAGTCATAGAGTTGTAAACCATCCCAGGCTCAGTGGATTGATACGTAATTGGGCACACTATTAAACAGCCATCTCCCATAACTCCAGTTGTTGAAATTACTTTCTCTTTATTTTTTAAATGTTGATAATTAAGAAGAAAAATTAAGTTAGACTTTTCAGCAAAATTGGCTGGAGAAATCTAAAATACATCTAATTTTATATTCTTTATTTATATACTAGAATGGTCAATTTTCCTAATTTTTCAATTATAAAATAACTTCCAACCTTAAACAGTTAAAGGAATAAACCTTTATTTTTGTTTTGTTTTCTAATTTAAAAAATTTTTTGTAGAGATAGGGTCTTACTCTGTTCAGGCTGGGCTTGAAAACCTGGCCTCAAGAGATCTTCCTGCCTCAGCCACCCAAATTGCTGGTATTACAGGCATGACCCACTGTGCCCAGCAGGCATTATTTTTATATCTACAGAGTAAACTGTTGGTGTTTAAAAATGGAATTACTGCTCTCATGATCTGTGATGAGTGTAAGTATATCAGCAACTGACACAAATTTACTGGTAATGGTTTTCTTTAAAATCTCACCAGCAAGCATAACTTCTTGAAATTGTTGACTGTAGAGTAGTAATTTTGAGATATATGTCATCTTTAATGTTTAATTACTAATACTAATTACTAAGCACAGTGACTGGGTTGAATTAGAGATAGTGAAAATCCTGTTTTGACCTTCTCATAAAAATTTTTATAAAGATTGTAGGTATTTATTATTCCTATCATAAAATACACATAAAATATTTTATTCCTTTTTAGGTTGATATTTTATATGTGTTATCAAAGAAATGTTTAAGAAACTAACAACATTTTTGAACTGGATTTTATATGGGTGCTAAATTATACTTTGCTTTTAGGAGAAATAAATAAAGAACGGATTCTGAAGTAGGAGTCATAAGCCTAATTGTAAATTCTGAGTATTTGGATAGGAGACCTGGCCAAAGGCCAAAAGTAAGGTTAAATTTTCTGAGGATCTTTTTTTTTCTTTTTTAAATCAAGTGAGGATCAAATAAAATAATACATATTTCAGTGTCGTGAATATTGTGTGCATACAGATGAAAGTTATTTCTACTTTGGACTTTTATGTGAAAAGCAGTATGCTGCTGTGTCATGTAGGTGATAAGATCATTAGACTTGCTTATTCCTTTCTGCAAACAGTATTTTACCTCAACATTCAATGTTTATGTATACTTTTCCACATTTGGGGAAAATGCTTTCTAAAATGTAATAGCCATTTATAGGTAAATGCCTTCAAATGTCACCAAATGTCTTTATTCTGTAGTATTAGTTCATTTTTTTCTCTTGTTTTTTCCTTAGAAGTATTAGTCATCCTCCGTATAAGATTTATATTTATTGATTCATTCATCCACCATTTAAATGGTTACAATGTACTGAATATTATTCTGACCATGTCAAGCTCATTATGCAGTTGACCCTTAAACGTCAACTGGTTGAGGTGCAGACCCTGCCCCCCACCACTTCATCATGCAGTCAAAAATACACATGCAACTTTTGACTCCTTTAAAACTTTACTAATAGCCTACTGTTGACCAAAAGATAACATATTTTGTATGTTACGTGTATTATATATACTATATTCTTACAATAAAGTAAGCTAGTTTTGTTATTAAGAAAATTATAAGAGAAAATATGTTTCTGTTTATTAAATAGAAGCCGTTGATTAAGTGTTCATGTTGAGTAGGCTAAGGAAAGGGTGGAAGAGGAGAGATCGGTCTTGCTGTTTCTGGTGGCAGAAAATCTGTGAGTAAGTGGACCTGCGCAGTTCAAACTTGTGTTGTTCAAGGGTCAACTGTATAATTTTATGATGAGATAATGTAGGATCTGTAGGTTTGTTTTTGTATCACATCACATTAGGTCTCGATAGCTTAGAAGAGCAGAATGAGAAGCTGAGTCATTCTGTTTTGAAGATGGAAGTTGAGACTCACTTATTTGTGGGCCTACATGTTATAAAAGGATCAGGGGAAGCCCCTAGCATCATTGTGATGGTTCTAAGCTTCTAAGAATTCCTGACTCCTTTTCCACAGTGTAGGGTGGTCTCCTATATCCTTTACAGCTGTGATGGTAGAGCTTCAGTCAGAATAGGTCTGGGAAGTTTCAAAGCAGTTGAATATTTTACTTCCTAAATGCAGCTTCCTCACAGGTGATGGAACTCTGTTGAAGGGAGAAAAGCCAGGGCTAAGATCTCCCTGTTGGTAGGCTCCCCACAGTGGGTAGCTGGGAACAAGTTCTATGGTCAGAGTACTTTAATTAGTGCACAATACTTGTATATACTCACATACAGAAAAGAAAACATTTCAGCCATTCAGTCAAATGTCTGTATTTCACCTGAATCATAAAGACCTTTAGTTTTAGACTCGTATTTGTGTCAGTGTTCATCTAAAAGTTAGCCCCCCAAAAACTCAAAAGGCTTTATCATAATTAAATGTATTTTTGTCAAGAGGATTTTTACTCGAATTATCAGAATATATATTTTTTCTTTAGTTTTTATCTAAACATTGAAGAAAAACTGTTTATCTAAAGTTTAAATGCTTTTATGTAATTTTAATTTTGTAATGATACTACAATTTCTTGAAACTCAGTAAACTGGACAAGAGTCAGTTTTAATAACTGATAGTCTCTGAGGTTCTCTGAGGACTTCTAAAACTTCTTTTTTTTAAAATACCGGTTTTCTTTATTTCTTCTCTTGACATCACGAGATTCACTCTCTGTCACCATTCCTCAGTGTCTCTAGTAAGAATCACCAGTAATAGTGTGTACTGTTAGAGATGCTAATAGTGTATACTGTTGGAGATGCTCCTGATGGTGGAGTTACTGCAGGTTCAAATGCTGAATTCATTAGCTTTCTGAACCTATGCCTGGTCGAAAAAAGTTTCCTGTTCTGGACACAGGGTCATATGATGAAACGAACTCTTGAAATACAATTCCCTTTCCTTCCTCTGAGGAACACACTGTATTTCATAAGTTTATGAAATACCCTTATGTGTTTGCTTTATGATTTACTGTCTTTAGCCATGAGTTCCAAAGCATTTCCTATCTAAATAAATTTTCATAATCTATAAATTGTAATTTTACAAAATTTTAATGTTGGAAAATAGAGGGTTTTATTCATTTTAACGTAAACGTTGCATTATGAGCCCTAAGGTCTTACTTTGCTTTTTAGCACTTCAGTTTCTTCATCTAGGCTGGAATATGTTTGTTATTCACTAATATGTTTAAAGGATGAGACCTTTAATATCTTGTAAGATACTTTGAAGTGGTTGAAACAAGATCCCATGTAACCTTATAAAGTATTAGCATCATCTTCATCTTATCACCCTCCCCTTAAAGATGATATGTGTAATCATTTATTCAGGACCATCTAGAAGCCACTGGCAGGGTTAGTACTGGAACTCAGAGTTCTAGGGCTGCCTTTGCTCAGTGACACCAACTTTAGGTCAGGTGGCTAGTTCTTTGGAGAAGAGAAATAGAATTCAGTTAACCTTGGCATTTTGGAAAAGCAGTTGGTTAAATGTAGAATTGTTTTTAAAGGAATAATTATAGAATAATTAAACAGAAAAGAAAATCTCTGGCAGTTTCTGTCCTCTAAATTACACAGCTTTTGAACCATGTAATATATTTTGGAAGAAGTAGATCCCTTAAGAGTACTCAGAAACTCATAGTTTTTCATTTCTGCTTTTTTGGGGAATAGTATCACAGTAATAGCAGCTTGACATAGTGCCCCATAAAAGTTGTATAGACTTTATTTTCAGAGAGAATCTAATGTCCTCCGCTAGTACTGTGAGCTAGAGAAGCTGTTTCTTTTTTGTTGCTCTGATATTCCCTGCATGGTACCAACATGTTCCACAGAGCTGTAGGCCCTACAATAAATCTGCTTGGTTAGGGCAGGGTAACAGAACCATCAAGTGTAGACCCACCTGGATTCAGATGAGTTCTAGCAGTGGGGTTGGATCCTTATGGTGTCTAAATTATATAGAATTACTTTAGAATATTCAGCTCTGCATATAATGATGGCCAAGGAATATTACTCCCAATTTTGGGTCATCATTGCTCACCAGGTGTGTGAGGAGGCTACCTACTTCCCAGTGCTTTCCTTGCCAGCATCCCCACTCACCACTTTGTTTCTTTCTGACAAAGGTATATTTTATTATTGTTATACTTCCATACCTATCTCATGAGGTAAGTAAATAGCTGAGGATGAACCTAGCTTAAAAGAGGGCAGACACTTTAAAATTTATATTTCTATGACTAACATCTGAGGAAATACTTGCATGCCAAATGAAATGTCTTCTTAACATATGCTTACATGTTTTAAAGATTTTTAGTTAATAAAAAATTTACACTTAATAAGTTTAAAGCTCAGGTTTAAGAAAAAATATCCAAAACTATATGTATAATTTAAATTTTATTTTATTTTTTGGACCATAAACTTGAAATACAGAAGTCCAGTTTTACACATAATACAGAAGAGGGGAAGGAATGATCACTTTACCAAATAATTATTCACTTACCAACAAATTTATAGAAATAGTTTGTTAAAAAGCAAGTTCCCTTAATACAGTTGAAGTACTTGCTTTTACAGACATAATACATATAATACAAATAGGCATTTCAGGTATACTTGTTTGTGTACGAGTATTTTAATAAAGTGAAATACTCAAAACAGTAATTTGCGACATAAAAAGTATAAGCTGGCCTATTGCTTATTGGTGTAACTCTAAGGAGTATTACAAAAGAACTAGTCACAAATGTTTATTAGGTGAAATACAATATTGAGTAAATATATTATGCAATAATTATTTCAAATCTACTTTGATAATGAATCCATCGCAATATCAAAAGTGTTAGTTTTATTAGATGGTTTTTTCTCTCCAGGTTTTAATTACAACAAGGACGGCTGCTGATAATTTTAGCACCCAGTATGTTTTAGATGGCAGTGGCCACATACTTTCTCAGAAACCTTCACATCTTGGTCAAGGTAAGAGAGTAGCTTTGTATATAAACATTCTTTACCTTTTCTGTCTTAATAGTTTGTTTAAAAAAAAAAGTAACTCCTTGAGTACAAACGTATTGCTTTGGGCTTGGTCTTGACAAAGGCTAGTAACTTCCAAGTAAACATTCAGCCGTTAGCCACCAATTTCTGAAATATTTAGAATTGTTCTCAAAAGGAACTGTATAAGAGACTGGACACCTCCATGGACTAGTTACTCTTCTTTAAAAACTAAGAGTATTTATTTTACTAGTGCTGGATCACCAGTGTCATCCTTATATATGAAGGTTAATATTTTATTGAAACATATAAAACATAATGGATTTGGTAATAATGGTACTAAGCCATACCCCCAAGATATGATTAAATAGACAATTTAAAATACATTTGTTTATTTATGGAAAACTTCAAACATATGCCTAAGAAGTTATAGGACTTACCACTCAGTTTCAGTAACTTATCAACTCATTGCTACAGTTCTTTTGTGTAATACCCTCACCCATTTCTTCCTTTTTTGTATTTTGAAGCAAATACATGTATTAATTATTGTTTCTACTTGTAATGTAGTTATATAGTGTTTTATATACTTTTATGTAATGTTATTACATTTTAATATCTTACATTTTCTTTTTTTTGCGTGGCATTTTTTTTCTATACACTTGGTTCTCACAGTGTATTTTCATTTTTTATTTTTTATTTTTTTTCCTGAGACAGGGTCTTACTCTGTCACACAAGCTGGACTGCAGTGGCATCATCTTAGTTCATTGCAATCTCTGCCTCACAGACGCAAGTGATCCTCCCACCTGAGCCTCCTAAGTAGCTGGGACTACAGGTGCACACCACCACCAAATTTTTGTGCTTTTAGTAGAGACAGGGTTTTGCTGTTTTGCCCAGGCTGGTCTCAAACTCCTGAGCCCAAGCGATCCACCTGCCTTGGCCTCTCAGAGTGCTGAGATTACGGATGTGAGCCACCACATTTAGCTGATATCTTATGTTTTTAAGTTTCTCTGAAAACTATTTACTTATAAGGATAAAAAAGATCTCTTTAGGCTTGAGTTTCACATGTATCCTTTAATCTTTTTCTAATAATGTCTAGTAATGGGATGATTAAGAGACTCTTAAAGTTATTACTTCTTTAGAGTCATATTCAAAATAGTTATTAGATCTGAAAAGGGACTTGTGGGTTTTGTTGTTGTTTATACTGTATAGTTTCTGTGGTTTCTTCCTTCACTTTTAATGTCAAATTATTGAATTTGTTTTTTTAAAATGAATTCTGTCTTCATTTCATATATAAAATATAAATTTCTTACATTTTAATACTGGTACCAAATTCTTTCACTCTTTCTCTTATTTTGTAAATCCTTAGCTTAATTACGGATTACTTTTGCCCATTAGAATTGATATTTTTGTTCCACGTAAAGAAAAGAGTTAACAGAAACTCCTAAGACAAAGCACTTTTTTTCTCATTTATTCATTTAATGAAAATGAGCTCAAGTCTAACAGCTATTTTATTTGACATAGACTAGTACAAATATTACATATATTTTAAAAATAATAGATTATAATTATTTTATTATATATCAAAGGTTAGGACAGAGAGAAGGCATTTTTAAAATATGGTTCCTATCTAGAAATACTCTGACCCCAGCTCTTACGAGTTCAAATTAGGAAACCATGAGGAAATATTTGAGTGGCTATCTAGTAGAGTACTTTGAAGTAATCTAGTCGCCTTATAAAACTTAAAAGAATTTATTTTTATCTTAGTAGTAACCGGTCTAATCTGGATGGCCAATGGCTTTGCATTACTCATACTTGTCATGCTTTTCTTTATTCATCTCCATGGGAACTATGAAATAACAATCCTTAGATATGGAATCCATCTGATCTTTGCCCTTTTGCTGTTGATTTTCCTTTTCCTGCTGACCTCAGTCTTCTACCTTAGATAAGTGAGGTATGCATATTAAGGAATATCTGTTGTCAATAAATGAACTTTATTTTCTTCAGTGTATTTCTTTTATCTCAAGAAACAAGACTAAATACTTAGAAGGTCAGTAGTTACAAAACTACTAATTGCTTTTCATAACTCAGTTTTTTTACCTAATTATAGTTGATTGGTTAGGAAAACAGCAGAAAATCAAAGTTTTAATTTTAAGTGGTTCTAGATGGACATTATATGTATCTACAAACACTTTCAAAAGCCTTTTATATTTATATTGCCTTAGTGCTGATAGTTTTTGAGTGATTGAATCACATACTCACATTTCACCAGCTGTCATTTAGCTTCCATTTAAATATTTTCTGCATAAGATAAAATTACAGTTCAACCATCCTAATTTATACCTGTACATGTAGGGTTCTTGGACTAATTTCTGCTGTAAAGTGAACATCCCTGCTTAGCATTTACATTTCATATTATCCAATATAATGATATTTATGAGTGGCATAATTGTAGGTAAAGAAACAACTTAAAATTTTATTTAGTTATTGTAAAATTTATTACCCATTTAAACAACATATTTTATTACTATTTTGAGACAGAGTCTCACTCTGTGGCCCAGACTGGAGTGCAGTGGCGTGATCTTGACTCACTGCAACCTCCACCTCGCAGGTTCAAGCAATTCTTGTGCCTCCATCTCCCACGTAGCTGGGATTACAGGTGTGTGCCACCATGCCTGGCAAAAATTTTTTTTAGTAGAGACGGGATTTTGCCATGTTGGTCAGGCTGGTCTCAAACTCCTGACCTCAAGCAATCTGTTCACCTCGGCCTCCCAAAGTGCTGGGATTATAAGCATGAGCCACCGTGCCCAGCCTATAAAACATATTTTTAAATGTTTAAAAATAGTTTAATAGAAATTCCAGCTCTGGCTTTTCTAGGTGTAGATATTTGTTTTCTGAATTAATTTAGTCATTTAAAATGATTTATGTGTTTAACAGTATGTCACCTTAAGTTGCCCTTATCTTCTGTTCACTTCCATTTTAAAGCATTTTTTTTAAACTAAAAAGAAAAATCTCTGTCTTTTAGATTATTTTACCAAGTATGTGGAGTAAATTATTTGTGTTAGTCCTATCATTTTCTGTCATCAGATCTATTCCCTTTACCCTGGGTAATCAGTATGAAGCTTTCTAAATTGATTTACCCTCCTGGACAAATTCTTTTAATACCTTTCAGTACTTCTGCCTTAGAAATTTCTCATATATCAAAAGTATATTTAAAGGGCTCTGATCAGGGTATTTCCTTTCTCCGCCGTGTTACTAGAGTAGAACATCATGTTCTTTATAAATTCCTACTGTGTGTGATTGTGCATGTATTAAAAGATCTTTTCATCTTAATTTAAGAATGGAACTTTTATTAATTAAATATTTTAAGAAAACATTCTGATGTATTCAACAACCATACCTTTCATTAGGAATATAAATAGCTGCCATTCTAATAAATGGCATACCATAGGGTCATGTAAAAATATAACAGGGAGCATATTACAAGACTGCAGTTTAATTTTGGTGTTTGTAGGATTGCTAAAGTTAGAGAGCCGAATGATTTTCTTGTAAAACATAATAGTATAAAGGGACCTCCTCCCTATTGGCCAATATTACCTGGTACTTTTAAGGAAACACAGTTTTTGTTTGTTTGTTTTTCATTTTTTGGTTTTTTTTTCTTGAGACAGGGCTCATTTGGAAAGAGAAAAGACTTTTCCATCAGTATGTTTTATTCAAACATATAATTCTCATTATTCTCAATTGGCTGAATGCAGTGGCTCATACTCCAGCACTTTGGGAGGCCAAGGTGGGCAGATCTTGAGGTCAGGAGTTCGAGATCAGCCTGTCTGACATGGTGAAACCTCGTCTCTACTAAAAATACAAAAAATTAGCTGGGCATGGTTGCTGGCGCCTGTAATCCCAGCTACTCAGGAGGCTGAGACAGGAGACTCACATGAACCCGGGAGGTGGAGGTTGCAGTGAGCCAAGATTGTGCCATCACACTCCAGCTTGGACACCAAGAGCAAAACTCCATCTCAAATAATAATAATAATTCTCAATTTAGTTTCACAGGATATTTTTAGGTGATGAAGCAATAATTTATCAATATACAGATTAGGCATAGTGTGGTCCTAGATAGATAACATATATTTAAAAATCAGGTCTCTCTTTTTACTTTCGTATACACATTTATATTTTGCCCTCTTGATTTCTGTCTTCTGTCTAGTGCGTGCCATTATATTTGTCATCTAGGAACTTACAGACTAGTGGGGAACACAGATGAGCGAATAATGACAAAATGAAGTCACTGACTTTAGAGAGAGGTTAGCAAGTTTTTCAGAAAAGATGACATTTAAGTTTGAAGATGGTAGGAGTTTGAAGATGATAGGTAAGAAGACATGGAGTATAACCTTTCGGCAAGAGAAAAATGATGGATACAGAGTTCAAGACACCATTGTAGCAATGGAGGAAAAGCATCATTTTAAAAATTTGTATTCGTTAAACTATGAAGAACTGTGTCACAGAGAAGTTTAAATGAACTAAGCCCAAGAGAAAGACTACCTCTTCCTAGAAAAGAAGTGCCTGGGGCCATTTGCATCCCTGGGAGTATAAACTGAGTCTGGAGGAATAGGTGGATAAAGGAGCAGTCCTTCTGTAAATAAGGGATCTTTTATGGTACTAGGAGAAACCAGCTGAACTTTTAATAGCCACTTGTGGGCTGACATGACTGATTGGAATATGGGATCCTCAAACAGGGCTAGCCCACCCCACACACTGAATCTCAGCAGGACTTTTGTTGAGTAAAACGTGATGAAGAAAATTGGGACTGAGCTAGAGAAAGAAAGATCTTAAAGCCTTGCTAGAGGAAGAGACCTGATTCCATCTTCAAGACATTTGAAACCAGAGGTGAACCGAAACTAATAGGTTCAACTCAGATAACTAGTTGAACCTATTAGTTAGATTGAAGAGATCTGTTCTTCATCCTACTTGCTTGGCAGGAAACAAAACAC